ATTGCGGCCACATGCTCTGCATACATTTCCTATATTTGTCATATTTGCCTGTTTTAGTCACATCAATATCTTATCAACAGGAGTTGCATGTACGCGTTTTTAAACACAAATCTACACACTCCATGCACAGATAAAAATAAAAGTAATTTACATCGGCCAAGACCTAACAGAAGCACATTAACATGAATATTACGTTATTTTCTTACACCATTTTGCTCTATATTAATGATGGCATGCAGGCTGAGACGTCAAAACTAGACAGAAACAGTGGACATGAACATGCCCTTTGGACAGGCTGCAAGTGGACAGCATATTACAGACCATAATTCCCAGAATTCAGTGCTCATCCATCAGGGCTCAGCACTCTCTGCCTTGTGTCTCATCTGATGAGTTTTTCATCTGGATTCACCGCTGTTGGGAAAAGATGTGTTTTGACCCTTACTGCTGTTCTTGACCCTCCAAATCAAACTCTCACTACCTCTTCTTTTATTCCTTTCTTTCTTATCCTTATATATATATATATATATATACTGCAAACTGTTTTTGCATAACTGGTGAAACTTAATCTTAATATTGATGACTTAATATTTTCAGTTATTTTGACATTGTATCTGATTAATATCTTCAACTAAATATTGTTTTAATGTTCTGCATGTTACCATGTTATTATCATGTTATTACCATGTTTATATTACCTTGATTGTTTATATCGTCACAATGTAAACTATATTACAGCTGTAATCTGCTAAGTGCAACTTTATTGCATTAAAGGGGTCATATGATGCTGCTAAAAAGAACATTATTTTGTGTATTTGGTGTAATGAAATGTGTTTATGCGGTTTAAGGTTCAAAAAACACATTATTTTCCACATACTGTACATTATTGTTTCTCCTCTATGCCCCGCCTTTCTGAAACGCAAATTGTACATTTTTACAAAGCTAATCGGTCTGAAAAGCGAGGTGTGCTGTGATTGGCCAGCTATCCAGTGCGTTGTGATTGGCCGAATACCTCAAGCGTGAGACAGAAATGTTACACCCCTACCATACTGTGATGCCGTGTCACGGCCGGAGCGACGAAACAAAAACATTAAAACCCATTATAAACGAGGCATTTGTTGCATCCAGTGGGGACATAATTACGGATTATAATGACTTATACTGTCTTTTTACGCGCTGCGTTGCATTGCGCCGCGTAAACATAAAACCATGTCTGCATTTGTGATCGGAGAAATGACAAACAACAAGCACTACTCTACACTGCTCAAAACTCACGTTTGAATCGTCATTGGCAAATCCTTTATATATAAAAAACATACTTACAGTCTGTGAGTCAGAACAGCCGCATTGTAGTCTGCTCTCCCAGGATCAGGACACAGTCCTCCATATAATGCGCTGCACACATCTGAATATTTGGGTTGAACTGTTCTAGAACAGTGTTGTAAATACAACTTAACCACTGATTTCTAGTCGTGTTCACTTTTGGAAGACCAAACAAAGTAGTTTTACTTTTACAACGAAACACACAGCGTCTTCACAACATGGCGGCCTTGAGTGAGCGGCGGACGGTGGCCGGCGGATTCGACGAAGGAGCGGCTGGCGGGCTTGCGGCAACCACATGTGATGACATGCTGGACTCCGCTCCAACCAGCACGGTGTGATTATGAAAAAAAATGAAAAATTATGAAATTATTGCATATGTTTATTTTTAGCTATAATGTATAAACTTTTCAAGATAGAACTATGAGTTTGTTAATAAGACACTGTCAAAAGATAATAAATAAAATGCTGGAAATTAATATGGGCTTTTCTTATTTTTCAGGTACACGAAAAAAAAACAAATAAATAAATAAATAAAACTGGTACACATACCGAATCGATTATCAAACCAGTTATTTGCAGCCCTAAAATAACTATACAAAATAATACAAATAATATAATACTCTGATCAAATATAATACAATCACAAGCACAACATAATTGTTAAAATTGAAAATGAAGATGAACACAGCTAATTACCAGAGACCAAGGGGGACCCCGCCTCAGCTAAGGACGGCCCTGGGTGGAATTTTACATACTGTACATTTGCAAAAATTTACAGTCGCAGATAATGTGACGGTATTCCGGATCTGGTGCTGTTAACATCAATCTCCCATAAATAATGTATTAGTTCTGTGTTATTGTTTACTGTGCCATAAGTGCTGTATTTTAAGTGCACACTTACTGGCATGTGCAGTGATTATGACTCCAACACACTAGGTTTTACTGATTCATAGAATCAGATGAGAACAAACTTGTTTCTCATGAAACAGAAACATTGTTAATGACCAATCAATGACAATGAGGGTTCCCTTTTGTCAGCGTCCAAAGGTTGGCAGATTTCAAATGGCTTATACTTTCAGGAAGTTCCTCACCAGCTGAGCAAGTGTTATTGAGATGAATGGAAATACTAACAGATAGCTTTCTCTGGGTGTTATAGACTGTTTTGGTTGTTACATCTGTGGGTTGTACTCAAGGAGGTCTTAGCATTGTGTTTTGCTTTCATTATATTAAAGGAATTGTTAACCTAAAAACTTAGAAACTTAGCTGAATATTTACTCACCCTCAGGTCAAACAAGATGTAGATGAGTTTGTTTCTTCATCAGATTTGGAGAAATGTAGCATTACATCACTGTCTCACCAATGGATCCTCTGCAGTGAATGGGTGCCGTCAGAATGAGAGTCCAAACAGTTGAGAAAAACATCACAATAATCCACAAGCAATCCACACCACTCCAGTCCATCAGTGAAGCGAAAAGCTGTGTGTTTGTAAAAAAGAATCCATCAAGACATTTATTTTTTCCTTCCAGCTAAAATAGTCATTATTAATAATCCATTATTAATAATAATACATAATCCAGTTCAGCTCTCTTCCAATAGTGTCTGTGCAATCAAGCCGACAATAATGCCAGAAATTCAGCGCCCCCAACTAAGCAAGCCAAAGGCAACAGTGGCAAGGAACCAAAAAAAATAACTTTTATATTGATTCAATGGATTTATTGCATTTTGGAAAAAAAAAAAAAAAAAAAACGTGGGAGAAACCAGGCTCGGGGGGCCAGTTCTCCTCTGACCAGACTAATCCAGCATGGTGTGGTTTAATTCCAGGCTGCAGCACAGGTCATATTGTGTCAAAGGAAAGATTGCTTTCAAATAGCACACCTAGGTTCCTAACTGATGACGAGGAATTAACAGAGCAGCCATCAAGTGTTAGACGGTGTTTTAGGTTATTACATGCTGAGGTTTTTGGTCCAATTATTAACATAAAATAATAATAATTAAAAAAAATATATATATATATATTTTTTTTTTTTTTCAGAATTTAGCAGAAATTACTAATCATCCAGTTTTTTTATATCTACTATGCACTCCGTTAGTTTTGCGAATTGTTTCGTCAGGCCGTGAAGAAATATAGAGCTGAGTATCATCAGCATAACAGTGAAAGCTAACACCATGTAACACCAAGGGTAACATGTAAAGTGTGAAAAGCAGCGGTCCTAGTACTGAGCCTTGTGGTACTCCATACTGCACTTGTGATAGATATGATACCTCTTCATTCACTGCTACAAATTGATGACGGTCAGACAGGGGCGGATTGGCCATCAATTCTGGCAAATGCCAGAGGGGCCGGACCATTTTGTTTAATGTGGGCTGGTCAGATTTTTTCTAAAAATATATAAATAAAATTGTTTTTACGGGCCAACAGCACATAGGACGGGTTTTTATTGCTTGCCCGATATCTCTATGGTTATAATAATAATGTTAATAATAAATAAATGTTAAGCATTTGCCCAGTCGGCCACGGCCGGCTGCCTGGTCCCGAGATGGGCCGACCGAACCGTTCAGTCAAAATCAAGCACGTCATCAGAGAGATTACAACACGAGCTAATTTTCAGTAGAAGCTAGATAATGGACCGTAAAAAAGGAAAGATGGTGCAGAAAAACTTTGAGAAAGGGGAAAAAAAGGGTTTAAGTCCGACGCTGCTAAATGCGTAAAATTAACCGAACTCTTTTCAAAAGGTTTCAAATCGGCTGCTGCAGCGGAGGACAGTTAGTGCCGCAGAGGTAAGAAGAAAACAGAAAATACAGCTAGCACAAGTCATTTTCACACTACTTCTGCCAGTTAGCTCCTGTTTTTTTTTTGTTTGTTTTTTTACAGTAACCTACATTGTATCAAATAGTTGTAAGCTTAGCGTAGAACCCCAGTATATTTTAAAATGTCATTGCTTCGTGATAATTGGTTAACTTAAGTGTTAACGAGCCTGTTACTGAATTGCATCAGCAGATAAAGTGGGATTTAGGGTAAAAACTGATGTAGGCTACTTGCAATATAGTCTAACACAACAAAAACCTATAGCAATAGCCATATAGTACTGTAGATATTTGTAGTGAACTTTACTTTGAATATGTAGGTAGTCATATATTAAAATAAAACATTGAGCACGCATACAGTACATAAGTTTACAGTATGCAATTAATCCTTAGGGCCGGTGTGGCTACAGTGCCAGGGCTGAATTTTTGTCCCAGTCCGTCTGTAATTCTCATTCTCTAGGATCAAGTTGTGGTTTTTTAATGAGAGACTTAATAACATCCAGTTTGAAGTATTTTGGAACATATCCTAATGACATTGACAAATTAATAATATTCAAAAGAGGATCTAATTCTGGAAGCACCTCTTTCCGTAGCAGATGGAATAGGGTCTAACATACATGTTGTTGGTTTTGATGATTTGACAAGTTTATACATTTTTTCCTCTTCTATAGCCATATTTTGCACTACAATGTTTTTGCATGCACGTTTTTGCATGCTTTCAAATACTACATGAAATAAATGCAGAACTGTTTTAAACATTCTGATCTGTAGCTTTGAAAATTTACCACATTCTTTCTAAAGTTATGTATAACTGTTATGTGTTAAATGTCACCATCAGTAGCTTACAGTAATTTCACTTCCATACGGCAGCACGGCGCTGTTGAGCTTCACTTCCCTCGACTAAATGCGCTGATGTAATGGTGTCATCCTGACAGCTACACTTTCAGCTAAACTAATACGCCATAATTACGCTACAAAATCAAAAACAAATGTCGGGAGGCGTGAGAAAGAGGTTCGCTGAAGGTTAAATTAGTCTATAAGTGTGGTAAATGTTACTTATCAGTAGAGGTAGCTGGCTAAAGTAGCTCCGCACAGCTTTGTTTACATTTCTAGTTCAGTTCAAGCTGCTCTCATAGTGGGTGTATAGCAGCATATAAGCGCTGTTAGAGCACATCATCATCATCATCATCATAGGTGCTCAAATTTACTCTCATTTGGCTGAAAATAGTTTTATTTGTGCCTGTGCTTCCTTAAACGTCAGTATGGGGATGTGTTTACCCTGTCTGAGTGGAGCTGAGGATGATGTAGTAGAAGTCACACCAGACCCTGTGAGTACTGGAACTTATTTATTAAATTATGACAATTATTGCGTTACATCGTTCACATTTCAATCTTGAACTTAACCTAACGTGGCATTTCCAGATATGTTTGGGAACTATGTTCGTTCTACAGCCGAAACATAATGGCTTTCAGTGACATTATGAGTGAAAAATGTTGATAAAACTTTGATACGTTTATTTGGTTATTGTGGAAACATTCAGAAATGTTGGTGTAATTTATACTCTCATCCCACTGTTGTTGCCAGATCTTTTTTTTAAATATGCACAGGTGTTTTTTTTTTCTTTTCTTTTCTTTTCTTGTGTGCATA